ATGAATCTAGTACATGTGACTGTGAGATCAGGTGCCAGTAGCTAAGCATCATTTATATCTCAAGCTACAATATAGGCTCAAATCCACTAATCAATTTAAACCAAAGTGTGTGCATCAGATGGCTTCTTTGGTAATATCAAAAAGAATTAATTTATATGACTGGAAATCAGATTTGAAGACAATAGACTGGACTTAATTGTAAGAACAGCAGACAACACAGAAAGGTAACTTCAGGTCCAGATGCCAAAGTCAGGTCCTGTTAGGGAAACTGGAACTTTGAGATTTAGGATGGGGATGTCTGTGCATATGCACTTAAGAACCTTGAATTCCCATATTCCTCTTAACCTCTGGATTTTGGGAAGTGGCTCATTATCCCTGGTTGAGAAATAGAGACTTTTTTTGTTTGACAAATGTAGTGATAACACAAATAAAACAGCTTTTTAACAAGACAATGCTTTCCTTCTTTAGGAACTGTCCCAACTTCCTCTTCTGTCCAGCACATACACTACCGGACTGAGAAAGTGCGAGGCGTGCTAAGGGAAAAGAGGCATTATACAAAAAATGACATCCACACCTCTAGATATTAATATTTATTAGTTACAATAACCAATAAACTGATGGAATTGCTCTAGAGGCTTGAGAAAGCAACACTCCAAATTAAATGAAGTGGAGATGTAAGAGCTTCCATCATGAACTCAGAGGAAATAATCTAAAAGATTAAAGAATTGACTGGGGTAGATTGGGCTTACTATAGAAGACAGTAAAAAATTACAAGATGACCACATTCCTCAAAGCAGCTAGGAGGATACTCTATTTAACAATGCAGTACGGAATGTAGTATTGAAAAAAATCAGTTAGGACTGACTTCTATAAGTCCAGAGTAATAGGAAACGTTATTAGAGAACTAGGCTTCTATTAGTAAAGACATTAACACTTAAATTGCATATAAAATATTGCTTTAATTGATTGGACAGAAAGGTAAAAATGTTATGGATGGAAGATTGCTACAGGAACTTAGAAATGACTGAGGGAAAGATAGACATTACATAACATACTGAATATATGTGCAGATAAATTCAGTAATATATGAACAAAAGGCTGAGAGCAGCCACCCAAACATTATGGAAAGTCATAATCACTTGCTTAATTTCCCAACCTGATCACGTTTTCAGACAGAAACTGTGACTGGAAGAGAGCACAGGTGATTATGTGGAAAGACACTCATATCCTAGAATATCTACAGAGTAGTGATTCCCTCGGTTTTCTCTTGAGACCTACTATCATTTGCCTACTTAACCATACACAAGGTTAACTGGGATATCCAAATCTTTCAAGGGCTATATGGACACAGTGAGTAAATTTACACTGGTACAAAATAACTATGTCCTGGACCAGGCCTAGGTTTCAAAGACATGGCCAGTGATAATGTCACTGGTTCTAAAGTGTAAATTTGTAATAAACATACTTATCAGTTAACAGAACACTTCAACTCAGTTTCCTGGACCTGGACTTGTTATCAGAGGAAAGGTGAATCAGAAGCCCTAAAATTACTCAAATTCCTTCACCTTTAGTCAAGAAAATTCAAAGCAATATTGCCTCCCAGCAAAAGTGGCAGAAATTATTGCCACCCTCTAAAACTTGAAAGATGTAATTTGTGACTGTGATATTTCTACTTAATTCAATAGTCTGGCTTCTGGGTTGGGGGGTGGGAAATCACATGGATAATGGCAGAGGCCAGGATTACCACAAATTTAACCAATTAGTATCCCTAATTGTAATTGCCATGCCAGTAGTAGTATTCTTTACCATGTGGGATAACATTACTTGTGACTCTTGAGCTGGTGAATGTATTTTTTTCTTTATGGGTTGGAGAAACATTAGAAGCAATTCCCATTTACTTAGTATATACTCATTCTCTTTTTCTAGTGCTATGTAACTCCTCTGCCCTGTTTTCTCATATATTCCAAAGGAATTCAGATGTTCTAGACATGGTGAAGAATATCACATTCATCTACCCATATTGATAACATAATATTGTGTTTGATGAGTGAGAAATGGCAAATGTTCTGAATGCCTTGGTAATACATATGTGCTCTAGAGCATGCAAGGTAACCCTTACAACAACTTAAGGGCTTGCTACATCAGTAAAGTTCTAGGGTCCAATTGTCTAGGACATGCTAGGATATTACACTCCAAACTGAAAGGCAAGTCACTGTGTCTTATGCTTCTGAAAGCTAAGAAAATAAAAACAAAGATTGGAAGACATCCTTCAATTTTGATAGCAGCATGTTTCATATTGTGGAATACTGCTATAACCCATTTGTTGCTGTGTAAGGCTGCTAGATTTGAATGAGGCCTACAATAGGAGAAGGGTTTGTTAACAACACTAAATTGTGATATAAAAGGACCCACTGTTTTGGTTATATAAGATCCCAAGGCACTTGAGCCATCTGTGGTAGAAAAATATGTCATGTAGATTACCAAGTGTTTGCTAAGACTGACAAATACTGGTAAAACAGTCATAGTGTGTACAAATGCAAGGGCTCTGGAATACAGAAAGGCCATGTGCGGCAGAAAACTAGAAAATATTTCCACATCAGCTCTTGGCATACTCCTGTGACCTACTGGAAAGAGCATCTGGCCATGGGACAGCAAGTGGTCACATGTCCTAAACTTTTCATCATGAGGTAGACACTGGCAGATCCACAGTCATAAATGTGGGTCTGCAGCAATCCACCCCAAAATGGAAGTGAGCTCAAGCATACCCAGAGAGGACAAGTAAGCTGCATAAACATGGGCCCCCAACCCATGTCACCTTCTAATGCTACACTAGTGCCTCTTCCTCAACGGATAGCTATGGACCCATGGCCTCTCTGTGAGGAGCTGATGAAGGAAGAAAACACCTGAACTTGGTTCATAAAGGGGTCAGCTTGGTATGATGGTATTAGCTAAATATTGGCTGTTTTTGTTTTTTTTACAAGAACTCATCTCAAAAATGGCCATGAATGAGAGCAGTGAGGGAAATTCTGTCAATATACAGACTAGGATGCATTAAGTGGAGATAGAAAAGCCTAAGAAATAGTACATACTATTAGGCAATAGAGATTGGTTCAGTTTGGTGGGTCAGATTATTGGAAAAACTGATATTGCAAATACTGATGACAAGGAGACCTGGGGAAGAGGTATGTGGATGTACCTATGGACACAGGAACCAAGTATGAAGATCTTTGTATCACAAATCAGTATCCAAAAGAAGCGTCACTAAACAAGTAAGTAGAGAACTGATTATCCAGTCAATACGTTTCTGCCAGTCTATGTCCTAAGCTAACCCAGTGTGTATGTAATGGATTCCTGGATATCAGTGCTACGGTGGCAGAAGTATCTGATGCTTCTGCCCAATAGCACAGCGTTCTCCAAACTAAGTGCTGATTACTTAAGCTACAGAATAAATGACCTGCCAACAGTGGAAACCAAAACTGAGTTCCCAATATGATAACCTCATCAAATAGAACAAACAGTCTCTTAGATGCAAGCTTATTAGTTCAGATCCCTTTCACACTGAACAAGCAATATTTCCTGTTAATTGAAATTGTCAAATATTCTTGGATGAATTTGCTGCCTTTATTGCCTACAGAGCCCACAGAGGCATTATCCAAGGGCTTCTAGATTATTTAATCTTCCAACGTGGCATGCCACGTAACATCTCACACCAAAGAAGCTGCTTTCCAGCAAAGAATGTGTAGGGAGCATGTGACAATGGAATCCATTTGCCCCATCCATATGCTACATTCCAGGTTTCTTTCTGACAGAGCAGTTAAATAGCATTTTGAAGACACAGCTAAGAAGCCAGCTAGGAGATGGTAATCTTGGGGAAAAAGGCTCTATCTTTCAAAATAGAATATATACCTTAATCCAATGTCATTATATGGTACTATGCCCATATAATGGTAAAATACATGAGCCCAGGAAACAAAAGGTATAAGTAGGAGTGACCCCACGCAATAACACTACCAGTGACCTGATTGAGTAACTTCTGACTCTCCTTCCTAGTTTCTAGATGAAAAGTGCCTCTACTGGATGGGGCACAGTAGAGGTCCCACTAAACCTATGCTGTAGCCACCAGCTAGCCAGTTTAGGTTCCCCATGATAACAGACCAACAAGAGAAGAAAGGAATTAATGTTCTGGTGCAAGTAATTGACACTGAGCATCATGAGGGGCAACATTAGAGGAGGAAGAAGAAATTGCTTTGTATTCAGGTGATCTGTCACAGAATTCTTGTGTCTATTTCTTTTTTCTTTTTTTTTTTTTTTTGAGACTGAGTTTCACTCTTGTTGCCAAGGCTGGAGTGCAATCATGCGATCTCAGCTCACTGAAACCTCTGCCTCCTGGGTTCAAGCTATTCTCCTGCCTCCCGAGTAGCTGGGATTATAGGCATTTCCACTGCACCCGGCTAATTGCGTATTTTAGGGTTTTTGTATATTTATGGGTTTCTCCACAATGGTCAGGCTGGTCTTGAACTCCTGACCTCAGGTAATCCACCCACCTCCCAAAGCGCTGGGATTATAGGTGTGAGCCACCATGCCCAGCCTCTTGTGTCTATTTCTAACTTCAAATAGGCAAGTACAGCAATAATAGCTTGATGGGGTCCTGGTAACCTTTCAAGAAAGTCTGGGTCAAGTCACTCTGTAAACCACCTAGATCGGCAGAAGTACTAAACACCTAATGGGAATCTAGATTTTAAGAGATGTCCAAAGTTTATAGAATGACTAGCAACAAGGAGCTAAGTAACAGTTGCAGCAGCAAGGGGTGTAACTGGGCACACTCTTCCTCATCTTGTAAGTTTTCCCAGACATTGTGATAACCGGAATTTTGAAATAGCAGTGCCAGAATGAAGTGAATTTAATGTTAGAAACAGAATTGAATGACAAAAGAGGTAACTTGTGGCTGCTTTTGGTGCTCCACCCAGATCCACTGTACAGGCTGTTTTTCCTATCCCCAGATGTTGTGAGTCTTGGCGGGAAACAGCTGACAATTATCCCCTTCTCCAGAGAATGGTCTAAACCTAAGAGGAATCACCATACCTGTGAGTCTCTATCCTACCTCGGGGGAATTAAGCAATGAATTATTGCCTTAAGGTGGGCCTTGTTGCAGTTTTGTCCATAAAGTTACCCTGTGTGATAATACTTGGTGTAATCTCAGGCAGAACCTGCATTACTTAGTTTTCCCCTCTGCTCTTCCTATATTTCCTTCATTCCCTTTCTCTTAAGAGCACATTTCTGATGAAACACTCGAATCAAAATCCCCATTTCATGCTCAACTTCTAGAGGACTAGACCTAAGACACAAACCTAAACTGATAATTTTATTTTAATACATAGATATGCCTATAGAATATATTGGCTATAATAATATAATATAATGTATTTATATTATATTATATATAATATGTTAAATTATATAATATTTATATTACATTATAATATAATAATTAATATTTATTGTGTAGTATATTTATGTGACATATAATTCTGTTCAATAAATTAACCTTTTCTTTCATATTCATTATATGTTTCAATAGAAAAAATAGATCTTAGATATAGAAATTTCACAATAGGTAGGCAAATAAATGTTCAATAGAAAAGAGTAACCAAAATATTAACAATCCACTTAACATACTAATGATGTTAATACATTATCGTTATCACTAATTCTAAGCTCTGTTAAATAATGCATAGAATTAAGATACTGTTACTAATTCTCCTGTGAAGAAATGTATATCTCTAAGCGATGTTACTTATTTTATAGTAAAAAGTAAAATTATTTAGTATTTAGTAAGGTAACCAAAAGTTTTCTGTTATGTATTGCCTTAAAACTCACGGATAATATGACACTACTTGTAAGTACAAGTTAACCGTAGTTTATAAAAATGTGAACACTTTCCTTATAATTTTAAAAGTTACTTGATTAGTTTGTTTTCATGCTGCTAATAAAGACATACCCTAGACTGCGTAATTTATAAAGGAAAGAGGTTTAATTGCCCCACAGTGCCACATGGCTAAGGAGGCCTCAAAATCAGGGCTGAAGGTGAATGAGGAGGAAAGTTACATTGCACATGGCAGCAGGCAAGACAGAGTGTGTGTTGCCTGTAATCACAGCTACTCGGGAGGCTGAGGCAGGAGAATTGCCTGAACCCAGGAGGCGAAGGTTGCGGTGAGCCGAGATTGCGCCATTGCACTCCAGCCTGAGTGAAAAGAGCGAAACTCCATCTCAAAAAAAAAAAAAAAAAACCATCAGATTTTGTGAGACTTATTCATTATCATGAGAACAGCATGGGAAAAACCCCTCTCTACAACTCAACGACATCCCACCAGGATCCACCCATAACATGTAGGGATCATGGCAACTATAATTCAAGATGAGATTTGGATGTGGACACAGCCAAACCATAACAGTGACTTAGAGAAATCTTTATTTGTAAAGTATGTAAGTCCTATCTGCCCAAGTCATCCCCATCCACACAAAGAAATTGGAAATTGATAGAGAAAATGGTAATAATTTTAATACACACAGTTTACTTGGCTCTGAGGGAACTTTCTTAAGATATGAAGAGCATGAGTTCAACGTTTTCCTATGTGAACATAATCAAAATTAGGAGAAGTTATTTATATTGACAATTGAAATTCTATCTAAAAATGTGTATAATGATAGAAAGGCATAAAGAATTTCTTTTGTATTCAAGTTTTATAATTATGCATCCACTTGTGTCTGAGTATAAATATACATTCTGAGGGAATTGACATATATTAATTATTTTTCATACAATTAAAAATCTTAATCATATTAATGAAAAAGATGCTAACTTCTATCATATTCAAACACTCAAAAAGCTCCCCAAATGTATAAACTGAATAATCAGAAAAGTTATATGAAAAGAGAAACAGATGAGCTTTATCTACATAAATTAGCAATATAATATAAAAACATTTAAGATTTTCTCACACAAAAGCGCAAATACAAACAGTCTAGAGAAGATATTGAGGGCAGTAGCAGCCCATGCCAGCAGTTTGAGAGGCATGGCTGGGACTGTGTGCTTCATGGAACTCTCTCTCTGAGACAGCGAGCGTGAGAGCGAGAGCAAGAGAGAGAGAGAAAGAGAGATTTATACATATACATATATAAAATGAAACGGTACCTAAATATACAAAATATTATTAATCCTAATAGAATAAAAATACAAGCACAATTTATTCTCCCAATTTGTATATATTTATCTGTTGTTTGAATATTAATAAAGTGTTATATGACTGTTAAAGAGAAATATGTGTTTTCCATACTGCTAAAGGGAAAGTAATTGAACAATTTTAGAGAGCTATTTTCAAAAAGTCATTAAATTTTAAAATGTGAATATGCTGTAATCAGCAATTTTAGTTCTAGGAATTGCTATAAAAATCTAGGTGCAGAGGGCCATACACAAAATATATAGATTAATTGCAGAAAGATTTCTAATAAAAATGGTGATGTGCTTTCCATTTCTACCCATACAAAATTGATTAATTTTTATCATACACATAAATTGTAATGCATATAGCTGCTTTAAAATTGAAGTGCCTATTATTCATGTATATCAAAACATAAGCATTTATATAAGTATGAATTTACAAATATATATTTATTTGGGAATATATGTATATACAATATATTTATAGGTATTTGTCTATCCATATTAATAACTTTTCTGAAATATAACTTAAGAGAAGCTTCAGATTATGACATTATATTTTATACTTTTTAGTTTGTTAAAATGATAAATCATAATGCCTACCAATTTTACAAGTTGGATACGTAATAATTGTACATATTGACAGGATAAATGTAATATTTTGATATATGTTTACAATGTGTAATGATAAAAGCAGAATATTTAAGAAATTCATCACATTTATCAATTTTTTGTGTTGAGAACATTTTAAATCTTCTCTTCCAGCTTTATTGATTATAATATATTGTTATACCAACAGTCACCCTACTGTGCTATACAGCACTACAATTTTTTTCTTCTATCAAAATGCATGTTTGCACCTCTCCTCATTCCCCTCCTGCCAGTCTCCTGTAACAATCAGCCCACTCTCTACCTCCATGGGATCAATGATTTAGCTCCTTCATATGAGGACACGGGATATTTTTCTTTCCATGCCTGACTTATTTCACTTAACATAAGTTATGAATGGCCTCCAGTTCCATTCATGTTACTGCAAATAACAGAATTTCATTCATCATATATACATTCATATCTATATCTATATCTATATATCTGCTGTGTACATTGATTTTGTTTCTTACAATTTCACTGTTTGTCTACTAGTTCCAGCACTATATTGTTAGAATCTTTAGTACTTTCTATACATATAACATGTCATCAGCCAACAAACACTTTTGCTTTATACTTTCCTATTCAAATATTTTGTATTTATTTGTTTATTGCCTAATTGTTCTAGCTAGAATGTCTAGTATTCTAGCTATAGTGGCTTCAGTGGGCATCCTCATCTTGTTTGTCTGGTTTCTCATCTTAGAGGAGATGTTTTCAGTGTTTCACCATTGAGTATAGTGTTAGCTCTGGGTTTGTCATTACTTGGCCTTTAGTGTATTGAGGCATGGTCCTTATACTTCTAATTTGCTGAGAATTTTTACCATAAAATAATGCTACATTTTGTCACATGCTTTTTCTGCATCTATTGAGATGAACATGTGTTTTTCTGGCCTTTATTTTCATGGATTATAGTTTGATGCAATCCTATCGGTTTAGGCAATGATTTCTGGCTAGGACTCCAAAACCCAGGCAACAAAAGCAAAAATAGACAAATATAATTAACCTAATTGGAATCCTTCTGCATCAAACTAATATCCTTCTGTACAAAAAGAGAAGCAATTAAAAGAGTAAAAAGACCATAATTTAAAAAAACAATTTTAAAATTTATATGAAACCAAAAAAACAGATCAAATAGTGAATACAGCCCTAAGCAAAAAGAACAAATCTGGAGGCATCACACTACTCAACTTCAAACTATAGTACAAGTCTACCATAAAAAAGAAATCATGGTATTGGTACAAGTATGAACACATAGACTAATGGAACACAATAGAGGTCTCAGAAATAAGCCTGTACCCACCACCATTTGATCCTCAATAAACCTGACAAAAACAAGCAATCAGGAAAGGATTCCCTATATACTAAATTCCCTATATACTAATACATACTAGGAGAACTAACTAGCTATATGCAGAAAATTGAAAACTCATCCCTTCCTTATACCTTACATAAAAATTAACTCAAGATGGATTAAAGACTTAAATGTAAAACTCAAAACTATAAAACCCCTAGAAGAAAATCTAAGCAATACCATTCAGGACATAGGCATGGGCAAAGATTTCAAGAAAATGCCAAAGGCAATTGCAACAAAAGCAAAAATTGAAAATTGAGATTTAATTAAACTAAAGAGCTTCTGCACAGAAAAAGAAACTATCATCAGAGTGAACAAACAACCTACAGAATGGGAGAATATTTTCACAATCTATCCACCTGACAAAGGTCTATTATACAGAGCCTACAGGCAACATAAACAATTTTACAAAACAAAGAACCCTATTAAAAGTGGGCAAAGGACATGAACAGACATTTATCAAAAGAAGACATACATATGGCCAACAAACGTATAAAAAGAAGCTCAACATCACTGATCATTAGAGAAATGCAAATCAAATCCACAATAAGATCATCTCATGCCATTCAGAATGATGATTATTAATGACTTACAGATACTAGTAAGTGGTAGAGAAAAAGGAACACTTTTACACTGTTGGTGGCTGTGTAAATTAGATCAACCATTGTGGAAGACATTGTGGCAATTCCTCGAAGACCTAGAGTCCAAAATGCCATTCGATACAGCAATCTTATTACTGAGTATACAACTGAAAGAATATGAATCATTCTATTAATAAAGATACATGCACATGGCCTGTAATCTCAGCACTTTGGGAGGCTGAGGCAGGTGGATCACTTGAGGTCAGGAGTTTGAGACCAACCTGACCAACGTGGTGAAACCCCGTCTATACTTAAAAAAAAAAAATACAAAAAACATCTAGACATGGTGGCGGGTGCCTGTAATCCCAGCTACTCAGGGGACTGAGGCAGGAGAATTGCTTGAACCTGAGGTGGAGAGGTTGCAGTGAGCCAAGATGTCTTAAAAAAAAAAGATATATGCACACAAATGTTCATTGCAGCACTATTCACAATAGCAAAGACATGACATCAACCTAAATGTTCATCAATCATAGATTAGATAAAGAAAATGTAGTACATATACACCACAGATTACTATGCAGCCACAAAAAGAACAAGATCATGTCATTTGCAGGGACGTGGATGGAGTAGGAAGCCATTATTTTCAGCAACTCAGGAACAGAAAACCAAACATTCCATGTTCTCACCTGTAAGTGGGAGCTGAATTATCAAATCACGTGGACACATGGTGGGGAACAACACACACTGGGGCCTATCAGAAGTGTGGGGCATGGAAGTCTGTCAGAGGTGGAGGGTGTGGGGAGGGAACATCAGGAAGAATAGCTAATAAATGCTGGGCTTAATACCTACATGATGGGATGATATGTGGAGCAAACCACCATGGCACACATTTACCTGTGTAACAAACCTGCACATCCTGCACATGTGCACTTTGTGGCCCTGAACTTAATATAAAACTTGAAGAAAAAAATTCAATAGCATGAATGAAAACATAAATAAATAAGTGAAAAGATAACCCACTGATTTGGAGAAAATATGTACAGCCCATATTTTTGACAAGATACTAATACTCCAAATTTATAAGTAACACAAACAACTCAAAAGCAAATAATAATAATAATTGATTAAAAATGGGTAAAGAACCTGAACAAACCTGTCTCAAAAGAAAACAAACTAAAGGCTAACAGATATATCAAAAGATGTTCAACATCTCTTATAATTAAGGAAATGCAAATCAAAATCACAGTGAGACATCACCTCTCACTTGTTAGAACATCTACTGCCAAAACATGAATGATAACCAGTGTTGGTGAGGATGTAGAGAAAAAAATTCTGGTACATTGTTGGTGAGAATGTAAATTAACATGGGCATTACAGAAAACAGTATAGAAATTCCCCAAAAAACTAAAAATAGAATTATCAGATGATCTACTAATATCACCTTTGTGTACATATCCATAGAAATTGAAATCAATATGTCAAAGAAACATATGCACTTCCATGTTTGTTTCAGCATTACTCACAATAGCCACAATGTGAAATCAGCCCAAGTGTACATCAATGAATGAATGAATGAATAAAATGTGGCTTACATACACAATGGAATACCATACAGCTTTAAGAAGAAAGAAAACTCTGTCACTTGCAACAGCATGGATGAGCCTGGACAACATTACAGTAAGTAAAACAAGACTGGAAGAGAAAGACAAATACTGCATGATTTCACTTGTATATGAAATCTTCCAAAATCAAACTCCTAAAATCTGAGAGCAGAATAGCGGTTATCAGAGGCTGAGCAAGAGAAGGATGGGAAAGGTTTACCAAAGGCTAACAAGTTTCGGTTAGAGAGGAGGAAAAATTTTTTGTAATCTATTGCACAGCATAGTAACCACAGCTAATAATAACTGTATTTCAAAATTGCTGAAAGAGATTTTAAACATCCCCACAAAAATTAGATGAGACAATGAATGTGCTAATTAGCTTGATTTAATCTTTCTACACTGTAAGCATATATCAAACCTCACATATATCTACCCCACATAGATACACAATTAATATTTTCAATTAAAAATTAAGTATACCTGTAATCCCAGCACTTTGGGAGGCCGAGGCGGGTGGATCATGAAGTCAAGAGATTGAGACCATCCTGGTCAACATGGTAAAACCCTGTCTCTACTAAAAATACAAAAAATTAGCTGGGCATGCTGGTGCATGCCTGTAATCCCAGCTACTCAGGAGGCTGAGACAGGAGAATTGCCTGAATCCAGGAGGTGGAGGTTGCGGTGAGCCGAGATCGCACCATTGCACTCCAGCCTGGGTAACAAGAGCGAAACTCCGTCTCCAGAAAAAAAAAAAATTAAATATAAAATAAATTTTACCAGTCTCATGCTCCATAAAAATTTTAATATTTATATAACAAAGATCAAAATATCTAAAATGAAAGTCATATTACAGATCTAGTGAACATATAAATTCTGACAGCTCATTAGTTTGGTAGCATGCTATACTGAAGTACATCTGGCACGCATCATGGGTTTGAGCACACTCAAGGTCATGTTTTCATTTTGAATATCATGAACAGTGAACTATTTATTAAGTTTACAATATGTGTGCAATGAAAGCATTTCGTTGCACACCTTGACTGTCCATTATGTCACCAAAGTCATTGAGCTACTGTGAGGGCTGGGGCCATGGGAGACAGTGTTGGTGGCCACGGGGTTGAGTGTGTCATTCAAGTGGAGCAGGAGCTTCACTCGTTGTTCTAGGTTACCCTGATGAAAGGTATATGGAGCTTCCTTTAGCCAATTTGTTCCACTTAAATTCATCCCAAACTGGATTTGGTCATATGTAATTATTCAATAAAATGTGTAACAATTGGCACATCAAATAAGTAATTGAATCATTCTCAATAAGTCAATTACCACAACTTTAAAAATCTATGCATTGGGATTCCAGGAGAAGATGGCGCTGTAGGACCAACTCAGGATTGAAGCTCCCAGTGAATCTGCAGATGATGAGTGGATGCCACATTTCCAGATGGATCTTTATTGCCCAGGAGATTCCCAGGTGTAGGAGCCGCACGGGCTGCCAGGCTGGCTATTCAGGCCACGACAGCAGGGCAGTGCAGCGGCACTCCGTACAAAGTACACTGGTTTGGTTGCCCTGTTAAACTGCCAATTGGAGATTTCGGAAGGCAGATTAGCACATTCCTCTGATTAAACGGGACTTATGCAGAAAGCCAGGCCAGGAGATTCCCCGGCAGCAATGTGATTCCAGCTGGTGCAGTGGGTCGCTGCAGGGGAAATCACACAGATCCCAGCCCCCTTTCAGCAGGCAACTGGAACACCTGGGAGAGAGTCAACAGTTCAACTTAAAAAAAAAAGAAAAGGGCTTTGAGGCAGGGAGCCAGATGATCAGGCTCGGCAGATCCCACCCCCACAAAAACAAACAAAACAGCAATTGGAAATGCTCGGGGTTGAGAGTTTCACAGCAAGCACAGCTGAACCCAGGATGGTGCAGCTTGGAGGGGAGGGGCGTCCGCCATTACCAAGGCATTTGACCCCTACAGAGGTACACTGCCATTGCTGATGCAGCCTGCTGTTGCTGAGGCAACCCGCTGAGGCTGAGGCAACCCACCATAACAGAGAGAGTCTGCCACTACAGAGACGGGCCATCATCACCACTGCAGCTCTAACCACACCCATATAAACAGGACTACAGGGAATTACACACGGCAGCAGGGTGGAGCCCACAGCAACAGGGCGGAGCCCACGACAGCAGGGTGGAGCCCACACCAGCAGGGTGGAGCCCACAGCAAAAGGGCAGAGCCCACAACAGCTCAGCATAGCCACTACAGGCAAGCAGTAATTAGACTGCCTCCTTTCTGGGCAGGACAGTGCAATGGATACTCATAAATAAAGACCTAACTCCCTGGGACAGACCACCTGAGGAAAGAAAATGGGCTTTATGAGTTCTGCTGCAGCAGACTTAAACGTACCTGCCTAGCAGACCTGAATGAACAACGGAGCTCACAGCTCAGCACTTGAGCTCCTATAAAGTACAGACTGTCTCCTCAAGTATAAAGTACACACAGTCTCCTCAAGCAGCTCCCTGACCCCTGTATATCCAAAGAGTCACCTCACAAAGGACTGATCAGACTGATATTTGGCGGGCATCATTCAGGGACAAAGATAGCAGAAGAAGAAACGGGTAGCATCCCTCACTGTTCTGCAGCTGCTGCAGGTGTGCCCCAGGCAAGCAGGGCCTGGAGTGGACCTAAGTAGTCCTAGAGCAGAGAGGCCAGACTGTTAGAAGGAAAACTAAGAAACAGAAATATTTCATCATCAACAATCTGGACATCCACTCAGAGACCCAATCGGAAAATCAGCAACTACTCAGACCACAGGTGGATAAATACACAAAGATGGAAAGAAACCAGCACAAAAAGGAGGAAAACACCCAAAACCAGAACACCTCGCCTCCTACAAGGAACCACAACTCCTCACCACCAAGGAAACAAAGCTGGATGGAGAATGAGTGAGATGAAATGACAGAATCAGACTTCAGAAGGTGGGTAATGAGAAACTTCCGTGAGCTAAAAGAACACTTTCTAACTCAATGCAAAGAAACTAAGAACCTTGAAAAAAGATTTGAGGAAATGATAACAAAAATGGACAACTTAGAGAAGAATATGGGTGAATTGAAGGAGCTGAAAAACACAACACGAGAACTTTGCGAAGCATGAACAAGTTTCAACAGCTGAATTGACCAAGCAGAATAAAGGATATCAGAAGTCGAAGATCAACTCAACGAAATAAAACAAGAAGCCAAGATTAGAGAAAAAAGCACAAAAAGGAATGAACAAAGTCTCCAAGAAATGTGGGACTATGTGAAGAGACCTAACCTACGTTTGATAGGTGTACCAGAAGAGGACAAAGAGAATGAATCCAAGCTGGAAAATACTCTTCAAAATATTATCCAGGAAAATTTCCCCAACCTAGCAAGGCAGGCCAATATTCAAGTCCAGGAAATACAGAGAACACCACAAAGATATTCTGCAAAAAAAGCAACCCCAAGGCACATAATCGTCAGATTCACCAAGGATGAAATGAAGAAGAAAATGCTAAGGGCAGTCAGAGAGAAACGTCAGGTCACCCACAAAGGGAAGCCCATAAGACTCACAGCACATCTCTCAGCAGAAAACCTACAAGAGAGAAGAGAGTGGGGGCCAATATTCAACATCCTTATAGAAAAGAACTTTCAACCCAGAATTCCATGTCCAGCCAAACTGAGCTTCATAAGTGAAGGAAAAATAAAATCCTTTGCGAACAAGCAAGTACTCAGAGAGTTTGTCACCACCAGGCCTGCTTTCAAGAGCTCCTGAAAGAGGCACTACACATAGAAAGCAACAACCAGTACCAACCATTCCAAAAACATATCAAATGCTAAAGAGCATCCAAAAAATGAAGATTCTGCATCAACTAACGGGCAAAACAGCCTGCTAGCATCAAAATGGCAGTATCAAATTCAAACATAACAATATTAACCCTAAATGTAAATGGGCTAAATGCACCAATCAAAAGACAAAGACTGGCAAATTGGATAAAAATCCAAACCCCATCAGTGTGCTGTATCCAGGAAACCCATCTCACATGCAAGGATGCACAAAGGCTCAACATAAAGGGATGGAGGAAGATTTACCAAGCAAATGGAAAGCAAAAAAAAAGCAGGAGTTGCAATTTTTGTCTCTGATAAAATAGACTTTAAAGCAAGAAAGATCAAAAGAGACAAAGAAGGCCATTACATAATGGTAAAAAGATCAATACAACAAGAAGAGCTAACAATTCTAAATGTATATGGAGCCAATACAGGAGCACACAGATATATAAAGCAAGTTCTTAATGACTTACAAAGTGACCTAGACTCCCACACAATAATAGTGGGAGACTTTAACACTCCACTGTCAATATTAGACAGATCAACCAGACAGAAAATCAACAAGGATATCCAGGGCTTGAACTCAGACCTGGAGCAAGCAAACCTGATAGACATTTACAGAACTCTCCACCCCAAATCCACAGAATATACATTCTTCTCAGCACCACATCACATCTACTCTAAAACTGACCACATAAATGGAAGTAAATCACTCCTCGGCAAATGCAAAAGAACGGGAATTATAACAAACAGTCTCGCAGACCATAGTGCAATCAAGTTAGAGCTCAGAATTCAGAAACTAACTCTGAACGCACAGCTTCATGGAAACTGAACAACTGGCTCTTGAATGTTGACTGGATAAATAATGAAATGTAGGCAGAAATAAAAAAGTTTTTTGAAACCAATGAGAATGAAGACACAACATACGTGAATCTCTGGGACACATTGAAAGCAGCCTCTAGAGGAAAATATATAGCTTTAAGTGCCCACATGAGAAGAGTGAAGAGATCCCAAATTGAAACTCTAATGTCAAAATTGAAAGAGCTGGGGGAGCAAGATCAAAAAAACTCAAAACATAGCAGAAGACAAGAAATAACTAAGATGAGAGCAGAACTGAAGGAGATAAAGACACGAAAAACCCTTCAAAAAATCAATAAATCCAAGAGGTGGTTTTTTGAAAAGATCAACAAAATAGACAGACCACTACCAAGATTAATAAAAAAAGAAAAAAGAGAATAACCAAATAGATGCAATAAAAAACGATAAAGGGGAAATCACCACAGGTTCCACAGAAATTCAAACCATCATCAGAGAATATTACAAATAACTCTATGCACATAAACTAGTAAACCTGGAAGAAATGGATAAATGCCTTGACACGTGTCCTCCCAAGCCTAAACCAGGAGGAAGCTGAAACAATGAATAGACCAATAACAAGGTCTGAAGTTGAGGCAGCAATTAAGAGCCTACCACACAAAAAAAGCCCAGGTCCAGATGGGTTCACAGCCGAATTCTACCAGACACACAAAGAGGAACTCTTACCATTCCTTCTGAAACTATTCGAAATAATCCAAAAAAGAGGGAATCCTTCCCAAATCATTTTATGAGACCAACATCATCCTGATACCAAAACCCGGCAGAGACTCAACAAGAAAAGAAAACTTCAGGCCAATATCCATGATGAACATAGACACAAAAATCTTCAATAAAATATTGGCAAGCCAATTGCAACAGCACATCAAAAACCTTATTCACCATGATCAAGTAGGATTCATCCGGGGATGCAAGGCTGGTTCAACATATGCAAGTCTATAAACATAATTCACCACATAAACAGAAACAAAAACAAAAACCACATGATTATCTCAATTGATGCAGAGAAGGCCTTTGACAAAATTCAACAGCCCTTTATGCTAAAAACCCTCAATAAACTCGGTATTGATGGAACGTATCTCAAAGTAATAAAAGCTATTTACGACAAACCAACAGCCAATATCATACTGAATGGGCAAAAACTGGAAGCATTCCCTTTGAAATCTGGTACTAGACAAGGTTGCCCTCTCTCACCGCTCCTATTCAATATAGTACTGGAAGTTCTAGCCAGAGCAATCAGGCAAGAAAAAGAAATAAAGGGTATTCAAATAGGAAAGGAGGAAGCCAAATTGTCTCTATTTGCAGACGACATGATAGTATACCTAGAAGACCCCATCGCCTCAGCCCAAAAACTCCTGAAACTGATAAGCAACTTCAGCAAAGTCTCATGATATAAAATCAATGTGCAAAAATCACAAGCATTCGTCTACACCAATAACAGACTTAAAGAGAGCCAATCTTTAAGAATGAACTGCCATTCACAATTGCTACGAAAGAATAAAATACCTTGGAATACAACTCACAAGGAACGTAAGAGACCTCTTTAAGGAGAACTACAAACCACTGCTCAACGAAATCAGAGAGGACACAAACAGATGGAGAAACATTCCATGTTCATGGTTAGGAAGAATTAATATCGTGAAAATGGCTATACCGCCCAAAGTAATTTACAGAATCAACGCTATCCCCATCAAGCTACCAATGACCTTCTTCACAGAACTGGAAAAAATCACCTTGAACTTCACATGGAACCAAAAGAAAGCCCACATAGCCTAGTCAATTCTAAGCAAAAAGAACACAGTGGGAAGCATCAAACTATCCTACAAGGCTACAGTAATCAAAACAGCATGGTACTGGTACCAAAACAGAGATATAGACCAATGGAACAGAACAGAGGTATCGGAGGCAACATAACATATCTACTACCATACAATCTTTGATAAACCTGACAAAAACAAGCAATGGGAAAAGGATTCTCTGTTTAATAAACAGTGTTGGGAAAACTGGCTAGCCATGTGCAGAAAGCAGAAACTGGACCCCTTCCTGACACCTTACACTAAAATTAACTCCAGATGGATTAAAGACTTAAACCTAAGACCTGGCACCATAAAGACCCTAGAAGAAAATCTAGGCAAAACCATTCAGGACATAGGAGTAGGCAAGGACTTCATGAACAAAACACCAAAAGCATTGGCAACAAATGCCAAAATAGACAAATTGGACCTAATCAAACTCCACAGCTTCTGCACAGCAAAAGACACAGTCTCTAGAGTGAATCGGCAACTAACAGAATGGGAAAAAATTTTTGCAGTTTATCCGTCTGACAAAGGGCTGATATCCAGAATTCACAAAGAACTAAAACAGATTTACAAAAATAAAAATAAACAAGCCCATTCAAAAATGGGCAAAGGATATGAACAGACACTTTACAAAAGAAGACATACATG